GCGGCCGCCGCGGGTCCGGCCCAGCCACCCGCTGGTGCTGGCCAACCGCGTGCAGGAGCGCCGGCAGGAGCAAAGAGGTGAGCGCCCCGCGTGCCGTGTCCCGGGTGCCGTGGGGTGGGCTGCTCGCGCGCTCACTCGGCCTCTCTCTGTCCGTGTCCGTGTCCCCGCAGAGCGGCCGTGCGTGACGGAGATGATGGGGCTGATGTCCTGCTGGAAGAAGAACGAGTTCAACAGCGACCTGTGCACCGGGGAGTTCCAGGCCTTCCGCGCCTGCCTGGCCGCAGCCGAGGTACCGCGCCGCACCGCTCTCCCAACGGAGGTGGCCAACGGCTCGGATACTGCCTGCTTTGCTGGCACGCCGAGGGCGTGCACTGGCACCAGCTGCCCGCAAGCGCGCAACCAACGGGGCCCTCTGCAGCTAAATACGTGCGGATGAAAATACAGCTATGAAAGAGGGATGCTGTTGTTATGGGGGTTAGCGCAGACAGGAGGGGGGGCCTGGACATAGGGCTGAAAAGGAGGTGGTCGGTTTTCACCAAATCCGTCCTCGCCTACTGCACTCTTTCTGTGGTCTTTAAAAGGACTGCAGTAGTGGAGAAGTAAAAATAATAAAAAATGGTTGCACTCGTCTAGGGAGATGAGCCTGGAATGAAGGGTCTGTACGTCTGAGGTCCATGGGAGCAGTTGATGCAACTCCTGGGTAGATTCTGGGCTTGTGATATTTGTTATAACTTTGCCATTAGTGCCAATAGGGTGAACTACAGACTGACACCTCTGTTTCACAATCTTATAAGCAGGGATCCTGGTTTTCCCTGATTAAAAAAAATTGCAAATTCCCTGATAAAATGCCCAAAATCTGTAATTTAAAATTAAACGCCCCTCACTCTTCCCACAAGAGCCCCCCAGCCCTGCCGGAGGGGGCCCCCAGCTGCCTGCGCTCCGGGGCCAGGGTCCCAGGTCTACAACCCCCTGCCCCCAACAGAAGGCAGCTGCCCCAGGAGAAGGAGCACAGAGCCAGTTTCCCCCCTTGCTGCTTGCCGGTTTGCTGAAAGGGCAGGTGGTGTGCTTTTGAAATAAGCATGTCGTTAGAAATATTGCTGAGATCCAGACTAGAATGAGCTCAGCAATTAATATATTAATGGTTCTGCTTCTCGTTTCAGAAACAGTTCATGAAACAGCAGTCCATGGAATACATACATGACTTATCTCCAAAACAAGTGAACAGACTATTGAGGCGGTTCCCTAATATCACACATGAAATTTGAAGAGAGACCTGGTTGTCCAAGGAACTGGAGAGCAGCAATCAAAGCCAGGATCACCTTTGGAGAAAGAGAGTTAAAAACAGATATTGAGCATTTGATGTTTAGGGGTTCTGTCAGAATCGCGGAGGAGGTTCTTGACTGAATTCTTGTTTTTTGGGGTGCAGGGGCTTGGTGGAGATGGTTCTGTAGGACCCCTGGCTCTTGTGGTAACAAGAAGGGTGTTTCCTAACTGTTGTTCAGCAAGTCAAAGTGTAGAGTGGAATCTTGTTTCCTTGTGAAATAAAATCTTCTAACAAATGATATACGTGAGTTTTAACAAATTACATACACAAGTTTTCACAGTTAAGATACAACTGATCATGTGCAGATTCTGCAGCAAGCCTCCTATCTGCCGTTCGAGTTGCTGACAAATAGTTCATGACTCTCAACTGACCTGGCTTAGAATTGCTGTGCATCTGGTGAAGCATGTTATTTAGAGGTGCATCAATACATCAGTCCCATATCGTATTGGTACCGATAAAAGGAAAATTGACATAATCGGCTTTTTTTGGCTGATGTAGCCAATAATGTCGCTGATAAATGCCACGTGCATGCTCCTGGCACAGCGTGCACCCTGGGAGAGCTTGGGGGGCATGTGCTTCCCAGATCTGTGCATGGGGTAAAGGTAGGCTGCCACTGTGGCCTGGGGCTAGGGCTGGTGCCAGGCTCTTCCTGGCAGGGGGGTTGGGCCTGGGCTGCACTTGGGGTAGGTGGAGGCAGTGCTGGGAGGGCTTAAGCTACAGGTTAGGCTGCAGCCACCCCAAAATTCGCTGTTGTCCCCCTACCAGTGCCACTGCCACACACTCCAAGCAGAGCCTGTTCCAGCCCCTATGCTGGGAAGAGCGCGGTACCACCCCTGGCCCACAGCAGCAGCCTGCCCTCACCCCACACACACATCTGGGGACCACATGTCCTCCTGGGGTGTGTGCAGCAGCAGGAGCTGCACCCCCACCCCATGCTACCCAGATGAGCCGTGGCTCTGTCCTGTGCCCCACCATGCTCCAAGTGCACAGCACCTGCCCCAGCACCAGTCCCATTCCCTCCCTCACCTTGGGGGACCTTGATCTACCCTTCTCATGCCTTTTCCCTTGCCCTTTCCCCCACAGCAGACTTACCAGCCAGATGCTGTTCTCCATGCTGCCTGGCTGCATATGGGCAATTGGATCAGTATCAGCCAATATGGCTCGTTAAAAATCGGTCGTCGGTATCGGCCCAGAAAATCTCTACCAGCGCACTCCTAACATTGTTGCCGTGTATGTTAATCTTCCTCTTCATTTTTGAACCTTGAATTCATCTATGAAACATCTTGATATTAGAAGTCCAGAGTCAGCTTCCAGAGTAGTACTCTTCTGCCCCCAAGTACATGGGGATATAAGTGGCGAATCAGATGCGACTTTCACCATGGCACTTTTGGGAAGGGAATTACAGGAGATGCTTTCTCAAGTTGTTATTTCTGTGTTGTAATGTCAGTATCTGGCTTGTTGCAAAGTTTCCAGCCTATTGTGAGAGACCCTCTTGTGTGTCTTGGTAAACAGTGGGAAGGAGAGAGTAGGGACAAAAGTGCAATAGTGCTGAACTAATACAGTTACTTTGATAAGTTTGTTGTTTGTATTAGGGTGGTGTCTAAAGTTTCCCATTGCACTGGGTATATTCAGTGTGCAGATAGCAAGGAACACTCCCTGCCCCCAAAAACTGACAGTCCAAATGAGATAGAATGATGAAGTGACTTGTCAAAGGTGACACTGTGGGTCAGAGTCAAAGACTCAGCCTTGGTCTGCTGATTGCCAGGCCTATTCGTTAGGCATTTTTTGCTCAATCTAACTCCCATATTGTTTGCGTGTTTTTCTTTAACTATTAATCATGAATATTCATTGTATTTGTACTGCAGCTTAGCTAGTTTGACAACTACATTTTCTTGTTAATATCATGGCAGGAGTGGGTGTTGAAGAATTTCAAGGAAGGGATAAGCATGATTTCTCCTGCCAGTTCAGGGAGGCAGTTCAAAGTGTAAAGGAAAACATCTGAAGTGCCCTGGATTTTGGAGCGCATTAAGCAGTTTAGGTGAACTGGTCTTTGTGTCCCATAACACAGGCAAGCCAGACAGTGTTCTCTTTAGTAAAGTTCTTTTATGCCCATCTTCTCTAGCCTCAGATAGTATGCCGAATTGGGAGCCAAGAGACTGTCAATTCTAAATTTGCCTTATCCACTTACGCATTAAAAAGTTTGCAGCATTGAGTGTGATCTCATACTTTTCTCACTATTAGAGGAAGGTGCGTTTTATTCTAAACATGTCTTACACTAATGTTCGTGAATAGTCTCCTCTTATTATATGACAGAATGAAAAAGAGGATCTGATCAGTTTACTGTACTCTCAAATGATCTGAGTCCTGCTCATTTTGCAATCACATTCATAAACCTCACAGTGCTTCTTGCCAATTTTGTTTCCTTTCGCTGACGTTTCAACCTCTGCTCTATCTTTAAGGTTGCCATAAAATGTTGTGTTAGAGTCTTCAAGTCCTTAAAGCTTATTATGTGCACTGTTTGTGTGTGTTTTTTCCCTTAGTATCTTAATGTGCTTTGCATGACAATACATGTTACTTCTTAAACTATTTTGGCAGTTTATTTGGCTCTGGTTTGCATACTGTAATTGTGAACTGTCTGTGCTGATTGACCTTGACAATAAGAGCTGTATCTCTCCATTAACATTTGTAATTAGGCAGAGTCTGACTGGTAAAGATTTTTACTCTTTCAGTAATGGAAATAATCATCAGTACACCTACTATGAGCATTGTGGATAGGACTGTCTCCTCCTCATGAGTTCTGTGTAAGCACTGTTTCACAGTGGGTCACAGAAGCTGGGTGGGTTCTGCTGCTCCATCCAGCATCAAATACTTTCAAGAGTGCTGTTGTTAAGCCATATACATAATGGGAAAGTGGGCAGAGAATTAAATGAAACCTGACTGGCTATTCTGTGCCCTCTTAAGCAGGTTATTGGAATTGAGCAAACTGTTGGAATTCCTTGATCTCATTTTCCTTGTTCTTTATAGCCTGGCTAATGCCATCTGTAGGGATTATTGCTGTCTAAACTTCCTCATGTATCATGCTGCTGCACAGGATCTTTTATGAAAGAATCAATATGGTCTCCTTCCTTCCCTGAACATGACACTGATATCCCAGCTGGGAGGGAGGAAAGCATTTGGAATTCTAGAGGAATGCATGCAGATGCTAACTTTCATCTCGCATCTGCCATCTTCTGTTGCTGTGAATAATACCAAAAAAGGAGGAAAACACTTTACCAAACTACAGTGCCCATGTCTTGTTGGGCTTGATCACATGGGGGCACAGAGCCATTGGGAACTCAATTAATTTGGTTTGGATTTGCTAAATAATTATTGCAATTTTCCACGTTTTATTTTTAATCTGTTCGTTCCCCAAGCCCATTCTACAGAGTAGTCTTTTGGGCGAGCAGAATTCCCTTTTGTACGCCGCAAAAGTACATCAGTGTCACAAGAGAAAATGGGTACCTTGTTTCTTCAGTACTGCTAGACCTCTTCCACATCTTCCTTTCTCCCCCACTTCCTCCCCCCTTTCCTTCCCTTCCCTTCCCTCCCCTCCCCCATAGAATAACCTGGGTGTGGGTTAACTGGCTCAGTGGATGTACCTTGCCCAGCCCCTAGTTCCTGTGCTGGAATAGGTGACTTCCACCTTACTAAGGAAATCAAGAACTGCTGCTCCTGAAGGATATGCACTTAGTAGTAGTTTGCAGTCTTAAACCAAACGTGTTGCAGGTCTTAGTCCTAGAAAAGTAAGTAATGTAGATTTCATTATAATCAAGAGCTGACCTTAAAGCAGGAGCAGGCTGCAATGACATCTCTCTGTTTCATGGCAAAGGGATGGAAAAAATATTGCATGTCTAATAGGGAGACCTGCTCTTGAGTTGCACTTGTACAATGACTATGGGCAGTTCAAAGGGGAAGGATAGTTCTCCCCTCATATGTAGAGAGAATAGCAATGCAGTGGCTAAAGGTTTGAATTACCTTGCAGGTGTCTGTGTTCCATTCCTCAGATCAAAGAGCACTGGAAGGAGCAGGAGTGCTTTTTCCTTAGTGAGAGGGATTAGTGCAGAGCAGTGTAGAAACAGCATGATTGAATAGATTTCTGAGAAAATCCTACGCTGCTGGCCATAGCTGGGAGAAATCTGTCCTACCAAGGGACTTGGGGGCATGTTTAAATTTAGAGGAGAGTACAGAGAGGAGTTTTCTTATGAAACAGGTGATTATAGGTAGTTGGCTGAGCGTGTCAACACACACACGTTTCACTGATATGAAAAGCTGTGAATGTCTACAATTGTAGTTGTACTGGTATAATCCCCTGCAAGTCTCTTTCCC